TAAGTTTTAGATTTTAAAATCAAAATATTATAAAAAACAAAATTTAAAATTATTAATAAGAAGAGTTTTTAATAAATTTAGTTCCTTACAACTTTTGATTATAAAAACTTTCCGATTTCATAAGAAAGAAAAAAATAGTAAAAAGAACAAAATTTTCTTTTAAAAATAGGTGATTTTACTATGTATTCCAATAATAACTTTCCAACCTTGTTATTATACAATCTAAATTAAAAATATAAAGTACAACTCGAAGTAAAATGATGAAAAACTACATTAGAATATTATGGTAAGTAATAAAAAGCTCTATTTATAGTGAAACTATATGTAAGCAACAAACTAAAATAATAATAAAATGTTTTTGTTTTTATAACATTTTGACAAAGGAAAGGAAAAATAATATTAAATATAAGTTAATCAAGTCAACTGTCAGATACTCAAAAGCAAGAAGGTTGAAGCCAAATGTTTATATAAGGTGATTTATTCGCAATAAGCATAGCACAATGCGCATAATAAATATTTTCCTTGAACTTTATCATGCTGAATGCAAGATTAGTAATAGGATTGGAAAAAATTTTTATTTCTTAAAATTTAGTCATTTTTATAAGTTTTCACTTGCTCCCAGGTTTTAAAAAAAATTTTATTTTAATTTCGCTATATCTATGTATCTAATAGATAACATTATTTTATCCTTTTATTGGCAGGATCTCAGAATTATAAATTATTATGACACAATATAAATTCTTTAATTAATAAATATACTTTGCCAAGTGCACAATGTTCTAATAATGAACTATTGGTTGAAATTGATCCAAATTTTAAAAACTGAGATTTTCAAGCAACATAAAATGTTGCTGATATTGTAACATTTAAGGCCTGATCGTCTATCTCGTTATTTTACTCGGAAAGTGAGAAGAAAGTGAGTAACTATCTTATACTTGAACAATATAATTTTCAAGTGAGAAGAATTATTTGGTATTGCGTGTCTCGTTTTTTTCTAAAAGTTTTTCTAATTAACTTTGTTATTTATAAATTTTTATATATCAGTATTATAAATCGAAAAAGATTTTTCGAAGCATGGTTCCAATTATTTAACATTGTTACAAAATGCGATAAGAAATGAAATACTTAATAATATTCATAGAAAAAGTAAGAATTGTTGTAATATTTTTTTTTTTAGTTTTTTATATTCTACTTTTATTAAACTTTTTAGAGAAATTTTATTTTTTCGTTATATTTTAGCGATTTCTATTCAAATTTATTCATCATCAAAAGTCAAGAATAAAATACAATCAAAGGTCGGCAAAAACTAAATTAAAATTTAGTTTTTACTACGAGAAAAAAAGAAAACAAAGAAAACCAGAAACAACTATAGTTTTCTAAAATTGAAAATTTCCAATTTTAATATTATGTATAGATTTCTTTTATTAAATAAACTTTGTAATAAATTTTCAAATAAGAAAGCAGATTAAAAATAAGGAAGAACAAAATATTATTACAATTACGAGTATAGTAGCTTATTGGAGTTAATTTTTATAAAATGAAAAAGTTCCAGAAAATCATTCCGATTATGGCTGGTTTTTTATTATTAATTAATCTCATTTTCTATTGTAACGTGAAACAGACAATTTAATTAATTGTAAAATTTATTAAAATTTTGCAATTTGTCAACATTTTTATGTTAAATTAATTGCATTTCAATTTCGTCTATAGAAGAAAGTCAATTAATTGCGTCTATAGAAGAAAGACTAATATCAAAAATGAGAAAAGAAAATTTAATTTAAACAAAAATTTAATTTAGTAACCTGTAGTTTTGGTTTTCTATCTGTGACTAATTTACAAAGTTTGAACACACACAGAAAATAAGGATGCGAGCATGCGAGTAGGAGCGAACATACGAATAGGCAGAGCTCAATTATTAAATTTTTTCTTTTTAAATACTTTTTATAAATATAATGTTAAAAATTTGTTTAATCTTATGTTGAATGGCAAATTTATTAATGCAAGCTATATAGAACTGAAAAAATATCTAAGAATTCTAGTTAATTAATTAATATTTTATAATAATAATGATCGAATTTTTTAAAGTTCTTAGTCTTTCTGTAGAGATTTTATGAATTACGATTTATTGTATAAGCATCAGTATATTTAAATTGAACACGATTCTATTCTATATTATAAATCAAAAAGAAATGTTATAAAAAAACATTATTTAATTATTCAATAAAATGTTAAAATATTACTATTTGACCTACATTCCGAATAGCAAAATTATAACCTTAATTAAAATTTTCTTTCAGTGACATACTTTTGCTGAAAATTATAATTTTACTCCAAGTTTTTGAGGAAATCTTTTTAGTAAACATTAATATTTAGACGCCAATTCTTTCATTTTATTCTTATAATATTTGACCTTAATCAGTCGTTTTCTTCTTTTATTGCTCTTTTCTTTTCTAATTTTTTCATTAGCTAAATTAAAAATTGAAGAAAAATTATTTTTTTTTTTTAATAAAAATTCAATATCTTATAGACTCAAGTATAGAAAATGTCAAAGACGTTTTCAAAATAACTGTACTTCTACGTATACATACATATGTTATGCATAGACACAATATTAAATTTTATATTATTAAATTACAAGAAAACAAATATTGTAAAACTAATATGAAAATATAAAAATTATAAAAAATAACTAGAAAAACAAAACATTTTTACATTAAAAATATATTTTTTTTATTTTTTTTTTTTTTTGAATCAATTCAATATTTTCTTTAATATGTTTTTCATCATAAATATTTAATGTTTGTTCAAAAACATTTTTAATATTATTATAGTATATTACTGTATGTAATACTACTGTATAGTTCCCACTTTATCCTTAACTATAAGTAATAGCTACTCCATTTTGAATTTAAGTTTTCTGTAAAGCATTATGATTTTAACTTTCTCTATATTATTTAAAGTATAACGTTTTGTATAAAAGAAACAAAAAGGTCGCCAATATACACATATATATATATATATATATACATATACATACAGTATTAAATGTTATCATAATAATATTGACCTTGGTGTGGAATATTGTGAAAATTTGTATGTGTATGTATGTAGCACATGTGTGTAATCGTTCCAATCAAATTTTAGTTAATATAATATTTCCTATCCCACTATTAATATCCTTGGAATATGAAAAAATATAAATACCAATTTCTTTTTATATTTTTTAAGTTTTGTTTTTCTCTTTTTCTTCCTAATTTTCTTTCAGTTGGTTTGTTATTATTTTAATTTTTACTAATATTATTCCAGAAGGAAGAAAATTGCTAACATAAGTTATTTTCTTTAATTTTCTCAATTTGTTTTTTTTTTTTTTGGTTCATTTTGTTTTTGCATTTTTATTATTTTCATTTTACTTCTCTTATTATTTTTTAGGAGGATAATTTTGTTTCTGTATAATATTTATCACATAAATATATACGCAACAATGATTGTATCAGTGGCGATTCCGTGTACAATAACTAGACGCGATTAAAAAAACAATATTTAAGATGGTTAACCTCTACTGGTAACGTATTACTGTTTCAGCTACATCGTGATATTTCAACTCACGTCACTTGATTTTGTTTTTTTTTTGCTTTCGTATTGTACTCCCGTCTTTTAATTTTTATGGAAGCTTTTACTAAAAAAGCTTTTATTAAAAAATAGTAGATTTTTCTCCAAAATTTATAGTGATGGGTCGACAAACATATGGCCTACAGAACTTTTCTTTTGGTACTAAAATTCAAATATCATGCAAATTCGTTTTCAACTTGAATCAGCGTCTAGCGTAGTGTTCTTTTTACTACTTCAATGATTGTCTAACACTGGTTTTTGGTGGAATAAATATGACTCGAAAGGGGCAAAATTTAAAATACTTATTTATAGACTTATCAAATGAAATTCATACTATGGTGTTGCTATATAAAACGTACATACAAATGGAAAAAGAGACAATTAAAAAATTTTTATTCATTTATTGATTAATTTCCTGGTTTTATTAAGTTTACAGCTTTACGAACAACTTATAGCTCATAGTATAAGTATAACAACAAATGCAAAACATTTTCTTCCTCGAAAGCCTACTCTTCGTCATTATCGACCATTATTTAATTATAATGTCGTGCTTATATTTCATTTTAAATTACAGCACACATGCATATGCATATGCTCATACCTATTTTTACGTATGTAGTTATGCCAGTTTCCTGTACATCATTTCTGTACATCATTATATTAAAGTTTTACTAAAATTTTTACTTGAAATCATGAAGCCTAACAAAAAGTTCTTATAATTTATTTTTTACTTGTTACTTGTTAATAAATTATCTGTCAATTTTCAAAACATAATTTTGACCTTAAAACACTGACAAACGTCACTGATTTTGGTTGTCATTACATTACAATGAGAAAATATCAAGATCATAACAATACACAACGCAATATTTGTACTAAATGTTCATTTCTTTACATACATATTCTCATAAATAGATATGTATAATAAAGTATATACTTTATTACTAAACACATACTTTATTGCTAAACATAATATTATAGGTAACTGTATATACAGCTTTTTTTACACAGAAAAAAACGAAAACAAATTAAAACAGAAAAAAATAAAAACTAATTCAATTGGATTGTTTAAATACACAAAATGAAAATAAACAGAAAGACAAAACAACAGCGACATTTTTGAAATTTTTCTAAAAATATAAAGACTCCTTTTTATGAATTAAATAAATTTCCTAAAAAAAAAAACAAAAAAACAAAAAAAAAACATATAAAAAATTTCACAAAACTAAAGAAACATCAATAGAAAAACAAAATTGTTAAAAATATTTAACAGAAAACAAAAATAAAAGTAAGTCAGAAAAAACCAACTAATATTATAAGAAAGAAAGACAAAGAGAATAAAAAATGTAATAACAATAACAACAAAATACGTTATATAAAATCAAACTTACCATTAACTGTCGTTGTAGTGACTGATATTACAAATAGCAGCGTAAGCATTCGTAAAATATTTGGTTTTGTTAAATCCAAAGACGCCATTATTATTTCATCAGTAATTTCCAGTTAGAAACGATTCTTTTTTTGTTTGTTTGTTGTTTTTGTTTCCTCCTTCTTCTATTATTTCTTTTCTCTTCTTATTCTCTATTTATTTTCTCTTATTTTTTTTCTTTCGTTTTGTTTTCGTTTTATGTTATGTTTTTTTTATTTTCTTATTATTATTATTTTACTTTTTATTATTATTATTTTCTTACTTTGTCTCTTTTTCTTAATAAGAAAAAAATATTATTGTTACTATGTTTTCATTGTTTTCTTTTATGTACACGAAGCGAACAGCGAAAGAATAGAGAAAAAAAGAGCAAAAGAAAAGAATAAATTTAATAGAATAACGAAATCAAAGTATCGAAACAACCAACCGACCGAACTATTGACCGAACCGACAAAATGAACGATTCTATACGAAACGAAAACAAGTTAAAAACAAAAAGAAATAAAAATGGATTAATAAACGAATTTTGTTATTTTCTTTTAGTTTTTTTTTGTTTTTCTACAATATTATTTCAAATTAAATTCAAGATCTAATTTGTCATATTGCATCTTTCTAAAAACAAAATAATTTAAGGATTTTTTCTTGTTGTTAGTTCTTTTATTCTGTGTTGTTCTTATGATGAATTTTCTCTTATTCAATATTATTGTTGAATGAGTGAAGTTTTCACATATTTTATTTTTATAATTAAACTTTTAAGATTACGTACTTTAATTTTGTTTTATGAAATTATTTTTCTTTCGTTTTTGCTGGTCGCACAAACGAAATTCAACACTATATTATTATATTGTTTATATATTATATAACAGTTATACATACACAAATTTCATATAATTATAAAAAATTTACAAATTTTTTAGTATACAAAAAGAAATATGTGTGTAGATAATATTATTTTAATAGTATAAAAATCCTTTTAAATTTTTTAAGCTCTTATTAAAAAAAAAGAATGGCTACAAATTTATTTTTTCAATCAATTTTTTTTTATTTCCTAAAAATCCTTTTCTCATACATAGCTATGTATTGTTATACTTTAGTTTTTGTGAATCAATATTTCACATATTAAATTTAAAAAAAAATAACAAACACCAGAGTATAACAGTGAAAAAATTAGGTCTTTTTGTTCAATTTTCTATATTACACTCGTATATTTTTATTTTTTATTATATACATATACTAACTATATTAAATTAGTAGTAAAATATTATAATATTGCCCTATAATGAAAACAATTTATAGGCAAATATTGTGCAGCAAAAAAAGTTGACATTATTATTTTCTAAATTATTATTATTATAATAGCATATACCGTTTGTATATTGTATATATTTTGGTATATTGAAAATTTTTTTTTCTTTCTAGTATTTTTCACTTATATTTTTTTCACTATTTTATCCTTAATTTTATTTTCATAGTATGTGTTTTTTTTTTCAGAATATTTTTTATATATTCTAACAAAATGATATTTTTTTCTTAGCTTTTATATAATCATTATTATTGTTATTATTGTAATTTTATTTACTATATTATTATTATTATTATTGTTATTTTTTATTATTATTATTATTATTATTATTGTAAATAGGTTCGCTTATAGTATGTTGGCTATCCTAAAAAATAGAAAAATGTTTATAATAGAGAAAAAATTTTCAATTTTTTATTTTATTTTTTTTTTCTTATAATATTGCCGAATTTCCTATAGATCTATGTATATATTATGTATGTTTTTTTACTTGCATCGTTTAAATAACCTGATATCCTTGAAAAAAAAAATGAAATTCTATTAAAAAAATAGGTTTTTTTTTCCTCTCTTTTTCTTAGTTTATTATCATTTTGTTTGTGTTTGAAATATCCTATTGATCTTATAGCGGAAATTCGTGGTAGGGATAAAAACAAACAAAAACAAAAAAACAAAATAAAAAACCAAAAAAATTTTTTTTCCTTTTCTAATCTTTTAATCGAAGATTTCGTTTTTTTTGTTTTTTTATTTTGATATTTTTTGTTACCGTTTTAAACTCTATTGGTTAGTGTTTCCCGTTAATTTTTTTTTCTGCTTTGGTTAATAGCGTACAAAAAATTTTTTTTTAAGTTTCTTCTATTATCCTTTTTTGTTGTTCTTCAATTTCTTATATTTTTGTTACATTCTCTTTCCTTGTTTGCCTTGTTATTCACATCTTAGGGCATCATAATACTTAACTTAACTATCAGGGCAGTGGATATCTATTTTATTATTATTATTTTTTTTTTGTTATGTTTGATTTTTTGCTCTACTTTTTACTTTCATTTTTCGATGTTTTTTTTCTTTGTTGTTGTTGGCCTTCTTTCTTACTTCTATATTGTTGATGATAACACTATTAAACAGCAGTAGGATGTTAATGTGAATTTTTCAGTACAAAAAATGTGTATTAAATATAAAAAAAAAACCCACACTATGCTATAATATATTTGTTGTTGTTGATTACTTATATAAGAAATGAAAATTTTTATTTTTTACTTTTATTATTTTTTTTATGCCTTATTTGTCTTCTATATAATTTTCCATAATGTTAATATATATGTTGTATAATTTATTATGATTTTTTCTACAAATTTTCCGTTTTCAAATATAGCATTTTTTTTTCTTTTACTTTATCCTGTTATCTATCTTGTTTAAGCGATGAGACATAGTAGTAGTTTTAAGCAGTTAGTTTTAAAAGCAAATTAAAAAAAAGAAAGAGATTCAATATTAACGCTACTGCAATTTTACTTGTAACTTTTCATTTTTTTCAGTTGAATTCTAACGTGATAATAGTAAATAGGATTCAAATAATCATAATAGTAAACATACTATCATAATAATGAAATCAATATAAAAATTATAAATAATTTAACTTTAAACGTTCTTTATATACTCTGCGAAATTCAATTAAAACTATGTATTTCTTTTTTTGCAATTATCTTAAGAACTGTTAAATTAACAACATTACATATAACAGAAAATTTGAACTTTCTTATTAGTATTTTTCATTTATTGATAATTCTAGAAATTATTTAACTATTTGTTATAATTCCCAAATTTTTCTGGGTGTAAGTCTATATTTACTAAATGTATTTTTTCAATAAAATAAAGTTATTTCTATCAGCCTTATAAAATAAAGAATATTCAAATTAAATTAAATAATGTATGCAAAACGGAATGTTATACTTTGGCTCCCTCTCTCATACTTAACTCTTAATTTAACGCAGAATCTTATGTTATTAAATTGTTCTCGCATAATTTGTTTTACATACTTCTATATATCAGTGTGTTTTATACCTTATTATTGGGCGCTTTTTCATCCACTTTTTAAAAATATTTATTTTTTTAAATCTTAAAAAAAATTTTAAGACTTTCCAAATAATTTTTCTTTTCATTATTGAATAATATCAAAAAACTTGGACTATAACTTCATTTGTCCCTGATCTGATAAAGTAAAATATTCTGCCTAATATAAATTAATTTAATTTTGCAATATTATTTCATTTATTTAATTAAGATCATCAAATTTATAGTGAATAAAAAAGGCAAAAAAAAAGTAAAAAGAAAAATTTAAAAATAAATCAAAAGCAAAATTAAATATTTTTTTTTTGTTTTATTTTTACTTCACTGCTTCACCAATCTAAAGCTAGAACAAAACAAATCTGTTAAAATTTCATGTCCTTGATTTCAGTTTAAACAAAAATTTCATCCATTTTTAATCTTTAGAATATTTTTTTTTGTAATTTTTTTTTTCTTTATTTTTATTTAAAATAAATTTTTTATGTTTGAATGTTCTTTTAAAAGAGAGCTCCAGTGTCCTATATATTTAATTTTTCTGTTTTTTTTTTTTAGTTGGATATTTTGCCATTAAATTAATATGAGAATGTGTATGTAAGTAAAATAAGGGGAGATGGGCTCAAAAATGATTTTTATTGGATTAAAGTGATGAGTTTTTCATTTTCGTTTTTATTTTGTTTTTTCTTTCAAAGACTTAAAAAATCTTATTTTATCCTTTAATAACAGGATAGAATAACTTTTTTTTTTCATTTTATAAATTTGAACATTTTATGTGTATTTTTTATTTTTTTTTGTTTTTATATATTCAGCCTAAAAATTTTTTTTTTGTTTTTTAGTATTTTTAATAAATCCAATAAAAGATCACTCTAAAATTATCCTTGAAGAAGAATAAAAAGAGAAGATTTTTTAATAAAGTTAAAAATTATTATTTTTAATACGAAAAATGGAAAAAAAACGTAAAAACAAAACTGCAATGATTTTTCGTTTGCTCTTTAAAGTCTTAATTTCCTTTGCATTTCTTTTTTTTTTGTTCTATTTTTTTTTTCTGATTTTCTTCTTGCTTGTATCCTTTCAAAGGATTTTTAGTAATAAGAATGTTTTGTTTTTGATTTAATTTTTTTTTATTATTTCTTTAAGTCCATGTTTTCATTTCTCAGTTTTATACGCAAGGATAGAGCATAATTGTTCCTTTTTCTTCGTTGCATATTGAATTCATTTTTTGTGTTTTTATTTCACTTACAAATTATTTCGTTTTCGTTTTTGGGTTTTTTTCTTTTTTTTTTCACCGAAATGAATATTTTACGTCCTATTTTCTCATTTCATTTTTTTTTTATTTCACCATTTCATTACTCTTCCTTTTAGTCATTGAAGAGACTATGTGTTTGGTGGTCTTTTATTTAAACTTAAAAATTACACTCGTTAAATTTTATTTTTTTTTTATGCTGTTGGAATTAAGTGCTATTGCTAGATATTCTATAAAGTTGGTTACTGTAATAGGGAGGCTTCTTTACTGAAATAGCATAATGTTGAATACCATTTATGATATTGTGGAATATTGAAGCCTCTGCTGTCTTTTACAAGTTTTATTGTGTTTCGTTTGCTAAAAATATAAAAAGAAGAAAAAAATTATTATTAAAAATGTGATAAAAAAGTTATGTAAGAGTTTACAAGAAAAAGGAATTATGGGAGTCTATATTATGTATTTAGTATGATTGTAAGTTGAAAATATTTACTTATATTTTATGTAAGCTTTTTTATACTATTGCAAATAATTGTAATATATTGTATACAGCTATATAGGTATGAAACTGAAAAATGATAATATAGTAAAGAAATTTCAAAACAACATCTACATAATTTATTTATATCAAATACTACTTTCTTTGTCCTTAAATGGCATTAGTACTGAAGTACAAGTGTGCTTATTCCTTTGGAACGTACATCAGAGTATGCTGTACGAAACTGTCCCTTACCAATACAATAACTTACTTTTTCTTTCTTTTCATGCTTTCATTTTTTCTTGTTTCATAATACGCAGGGTGGTTCGCAGGAAATAATATCTTGTACCTTTTATTTCAATATGCTGTAGCTCAAAAACGAGTATATCTGTACCCTCCCTCACCTATACAACTTTTTGCTGGAAAATTATGAAAGAGTCACCGCTGAAACTAATTGCCGCCTTATGTGAAACACCCTGTATATTATATAAAATTAGAATTTAAAATATTGTACAAATTGAAGATTAACTTCAATTTATGGATGATCAATGGATCAACTCATTTTGAAAGCTATTGATTTTTCGGTTTGAAAAAGTCAAAATGTTAATTAACTAGAAACGTTCAATAATACAAGGCCTAATTAGCTTTTAATTAGTACATGATCTCATGCTTTTCTATATAAAAATATTTCAGTTCGGATTAAGAACATGATAAATAATTATATCGCATACTTTGCAATTATTTTAGTAAATACCAATTATTAATATTGAAAATTATTAATATTTATTAGGATTAATCGCATTTCATTTCCTCGAATCAAATTAAATATTTGCTATTAAGTAATATTAATAACGTTTTAATTTTATGTTGTTTAAATTATTAAAATCAAGTGAAATTCTTAGTATTGGCTTATATAAAATGCTCATTTTCTAATGTACTGTTAAGAGCTTACAATTGCTCACAAATATATTTATAAAGCTTTTCATATTTTTTTTTTCAAAATTTATTGATATTCGGCTTCGCTTTTACGCTTTAATTAAGTTCTACTTAAAAATAATTATTTTTCTTTTTCAAAATTTTTAATTTAAAAATTTAATATTTAATATTTTTTGAGAAGAAAGAGAAAAATTACTCTTACGACTGAATACAAAATAATTTTCGTATCCTCAATTCATAAAACGAAAACAAAAACAGAAAAAAAAATATAATGTTATCCTAAAGATCCGACAATATCAAGGAAATTCAAAATTTTTACTTATAATAAATTTTTTATTAAAATTTTATATTTCTCGGGGATTTTATGTAATTTTTTTCCGGATTAAAAGTAATTTCTTTGAAGCTTAGTATGTATAAGAAAAAAAAAACGCAATTTTGTAAGTGAAGAAGAGAAAAGAACTTCTTTTTTTTTTTTTAAAAAAAAAATAAAGCAAAAAATTATTATACGAGCGTTTTTTTTTTCTAATTTTTTTTTTCAATTTGATGAGTTTTTCATTTTTTTTTTTTGTTTTGCCTCCATGAGAAGAAGAAAATCTTTGAAACGATCATTATTGGTTTATCAGGATGTCGTCATAATATTCTTTTCAAAGCAAAAAAAGAAATCTTCATTGTAATGTAATATAGTTGCGAAATTCTCAATTTGAAAAACAGGAATAAGAAGAGAATGAAAAAAAAATTAAGAATACAAAAACAAATTGAAGATTTTGAAAAATTTTTGAAAACAAGAAGAAAATTTAATTTAGTTAATCTTACTTTTTCGGATAATCTCACAAAGATAATGTAGAACGTTTTAATTTCACACAACACATTTAAAAGTTTCAGCTCGAAAATTAAATTTTTCTTTACCTTACCATTTTTATAAGAAAAGGACGATCAATAAACAAGCACCTACTTAAAATTTTCTCTTTGGGTTCAATGAAATCGCGTTTAGAATTTTATAGTGGCTTTTTTATTACATATCACATCAGAAGATTTTAAGAAAGTTTATCACTAATCAATGTGTTTAAAAATTTTAAAGAAATTTTGTGTACAAAAGTTATTTCATACTTATGTCAGCAATAACAAAGTACCTTTTTTCAATTGACATACCTACTCTTGGAGGGATTTCATAAATTTAATTCAATCTAGCCTGGGGTAGAAAAGTGGCTAATGAAAGCCACGGGTCAAATATTAGTTCAAAATGTGAACCAGTGTTTTTGTGCGACTGCAGTGTAATTTGAAATTAGAATTCTGGAATGAGTTTTTTAATTATATGCAGTCCATAAGACATTACTCAAATTAATTGTACAAAATTTTTGTCAAACACTATTTTAATTAAAATTCATTTAATGTTAACATTCAACAACTATCCCACTTATGTAACAGCAGTAATGATATTTATAAACTTAAAGAATTTAAAAATTATAGGAAACTTACGTATAGCTTTCACAATCAGCTTAAAAATCTCCTCTTACCTCTTATTTTTGGAATTTTCTCTATCGCTCTATATCCGAATGAAAACTACAATTGCTAAATTGCTCACAGTCTTTCATCTCTTTTTAATTTTGACATGCTCAATAACAGGAAATTCGAATGTATTCGAATAGACATTGTAACATTGAAATTTATTTTAGAAATTGTTACAGCAATTTTAGTCTTATGAATTGCAAAATTCAAAATTCTTGGATTGCCCATATAAAATTTTTTTAAATGCAAACACACACATACTTTTATTTATATTACTTTTTTTTTTCCTTATGCTTTTTTATCTCTTTCTTATTTATTTAAAGCATCATATTAAATTAATGAAAGAACAATGGAAAATTTACTGGTGCAAAAATAAAATGGTAGTTAGTTTATTTTAATATTTTTTTCTTTACTTTTTTTTTTCTTTTTAATTCACATATTTTAACGTTTTTATATTATAAAATATACCTACCCTGATTTCTGTACCATTCCTCTTTATTATACAACAGTTAGTACAATTTTTGTTTTTTCTGAAATTTTTCATTGTTTTAAATATTATTCTGTGTATTGTTATTTTTTTTTTTTTTTGGTATATAAAAGACATGGACAGTAAATAAATCTTAAGATATTTTCACTGCTTTTAACAAACAACAACTAAAGCACTGCTTACTGCATTCAATAGAAATTTAATTACACATAAATTTTGATTTTAATGTAGTTTTCATTGAAATTTGTTCTTTCATTTCCCTTCGATAATGAATATTATTCCTATTATTCTATATAAATGTATGTAATAAGTAAGTATATAAAAAATTTTATTCAAAATAAATATAGGTATACCTAAATTTATATATCGTAATATTATCTACATTTATATAGTGTACATTATTCAATTTAAGATAAAATAGCATTAATTTATAATAAGATGAAGGAAATTAAATTCGAAATAAAAGCGAGAGAAAATGAAATTTTTGTAATTATGCTTAATTACTTAAAATATACGCCGCCTATATTTAAATGGAATATGTATGATTCCTCTATTTTATCAAGAATATTAAAAAGAGAAAGAAAATGAGTTTAAAAACTCCTAAAAAATCTCTAAGAGTCCTACTTTACATTAATTATACAATTTGAAAAATGCTTTATAGCAATTGTTTTTAATATTGAGATAATAATGAAAATAATGGGAAGATACACTAAAATTAATTCTATAATAGTAATTAATTAGGTTATATACGAATTTTTACAGTTTAGTATTCTGGAAAATGCTAATTGGTTAAATTTTTTTTTTCTGAATAAATTTATAAAAAATATTTTCTTACATTTAATAAATTTAATTTTCTTTTATTTTGGAGTAAACTGAAATTGTAATAAAAATGGATAGCATTAAAGATAATAAATTAAAGATATTTTGCTTTGCGATAGATAAATGACACTAACATATAGGGTTCTAAGGAAACTTTTTTAAATACACCTTGCTATTTAAGGATTTTTGTTAAAAAATAATTGTGCCAAAATAGATACGTGTTCAATAAAAATTAATTAGGACATTACTTCATTTATTAAGTTAATTTCTTCTTACTACAAATCTTACGATAGACAGCAAACTCAAAAGAAAAATTAATTTTAAGAGAAAACTTTCTTAATTTTTTTATTTCGCACACAATACGATTGTAATTTTATTATGTGTCACCGCTAAACTGAATCTTAACTTTCTTAAGAATTTACTTCAGCAATTCACGTAGAAAAAAAAGAATTAAATTAAAATTTTCATTTTCGGAATCTTACATTTTCTACTTCTTGAGTAGATTTATCAAAAGATGCTCGAAATTCTTACATTATTGATTGTAATTTTATATTCACTGCAATATTAAGACGAATTTGCCCCTTTTTTATATTATTTAAGTTAAAACAGTTTTATTGAACCGAAAAAAATTTTGTAAAATTATGTTTTTTGTATATATGTACGTATATATAGAAACAATTGCGTTATTTTCGGGAAAGTTGAAAATTTTCTTAAAAACGTAATTTGAACATTGTACGTAAATTCTTTACTGACATTACTACTCATGCTTTCCGTTAGCTTACATCACTGTTTCAACTTCAATCATAATAATGGTATTGCCTTGTCCTCGAATAAAAATTTTATTTATGTTGCTATTTTATGTGATAAGATGTATACCTCTTCTCTGTTATTATGTAAAACTCGATTGTACTCAATTTTAAAACGTAAAGATTATAAGATGTTTGTGAGAACAATCACCAAAATATAATATTAGAGCTGAGCGTTGTGTATGAACATACAAGTATGTGTTTGTAAATATATTATATGCATATTTTATCAAAAGGTTATGAAAAAGGTTATCATTCCTTATTATGTGATCTTGTAGAAAAATAAAAATATTTACATATTCTTCAATTGAATAATTGATTTGATTTTATAACAAGAGAATAATGAAACTGAATTTTTTGTTTTTTTTTTGTTTTTTTTTAATAAAATAATTTCTTAATATAACAATCACATCACTTTATATAACATTGAAATTCTTAAAAAATATTAATTTAAATTTTAATCATATTGAAATTATTTGATCAAATTATTTTTTTTAAACGTAATATTGCACTATAACTAGATTATGTGTTTAACGGATTTGAGAAGGTGTCTGTTATATAATATTAATTAAGTAAATACAACATTTAGTCCAATACGCCAATCTGATCCTATAAATTAAAAATTCTCATGATGTACATTTAATGATCCAGAATATCTAGTATTACCCTGTGATGAAAATGGTCCAGTATGATGTGCAATTTTTGCAGTACCTTCAATTTGTGTATTACCACTCTTTGATCGCCATAATTTTGCAATCGCCTCTGCTACCAAATCAGTACCAACTTGTTGATCATGATCAGCACTTATACGTAAATCAAATTGTCTTTTTGGGAATAAACCATCAATAAAATCACTACTACTTTTATCGATTAATTCCGGTGCACTTTGACTCTTTTTTAAACTTGTATTTTCTTTATTTGCATTTGTTGTAGCTGTTGCTGTATTAATTGAATTCGTAGATGCACTTTTAACTGATGAAGGAGGAACTGTTGTTGGTGTTATTACAGAACGTTGTGTGGTTTCGGTACGGGCATCATATTCATAAGGGAATAATAAGATTATTATAAATAATGTTAATAATAAATATTTAAAAATATTAATTTCCTTCATTTTAAATAATTCATTCAACATTTTTATTAAAAAAAGAAACAAGCCACTTTGTGTACAATTCTAATAGGAAAAAACTTATTTTTTTTTCAACTTAAAGATTCCCTTATTTTCACAACTTTGGCTCACAAATTTATGTGATATGACGATGATGATGTTTTCCTTATAATAAGATTCTCTGTTTTTTCTTTTTAATATATGAATTTCTAATACACTAATTCCCAGTTCAAATTTAAAAGAATTATTTTGATAAAATATTACATTACACACATATTACGTATGTACAGTTATAGATAGATGTATAAATTAAAGAAGCTCTTCAAAGTTAATCAAAAGATAGAAAAAAATTTAATATTTATTTCAATACCGATTCAATGAAATAGAAAATTCGAACTGAATTTATGTCTTCGAAAATAAAATATATACATAATATTTTTTTCGTATTTTCTAAGAATTTGATTAACTAAATGCAATATATACAAGTGTACATACACGTGTATAGTAAACACAAATATACTGTATGTGTGTGTATAACTACAAAGAAAGATATGATGTGGGTTCAATTAAATTATATACAAACGAATATAATATGATTTATGAATTATATGAAAAATATAAGTTTCTTGGGAAGATGTCTAGTCAATCATTTTGAATTATTTCAAAACGTTATCATTTTGTTTATATTATTAGCAATGCGTTCTATATTACATAGAATAGTGGCACAAAGTTTTATCTATGATGATTTTTTTAAATAAAAATAAACGAAACAAAAATTAAAATCTGGTACACAGCTGAGTAGAATATAGAATAGATGGAAGCTATATGTAATATATTTTATAATGGCCGATATCGTATTAAGGAATATTTTTTTCTTCCTTTTCCACTCCTAGGAGGAGCATAGGGCTAGTGTATGACATGATAGACTATGTCATGCCTCAGTTTCATTGCGTCATAGAGTTTTAACTAAGTAGGTGACCCGCCGTAATAATACCGTAATAAAGAATAATAATGCTAGACAATTTAATAGTGGAACAGTTTAACATCGAAGACAAAGGAACGAAACAAGAAGAACTTGGAAAAATTATCAAACATTTTCATATCCCAAACCGGGCTTAAATGTGAAACTGAACACAATTTCAAAATTAAAAAATTCATATTGTTCAAATTTATGTAATTAAATTTGAAATTCAATTTAATATTAATCTTTATTCACCACCAACTATCTCAATTAAGAAGTTGGTGCTTCTAGCCACAGAATTTTTAAATCATTTTAATTTCAGAACATTATACCCATACAGAAAATATATTTTCAAAAATGTGCTTCTATATTATCTCTCCTTTAAGCAATAATACAAAATGGTCTTAAAATTAAGAAAAGATGAGAGCTATAAAAGGCTTATGTATGTAAAAGAGAAATTTTTCTTTAAATACAAACATCATTTTGAGTAATTCTTACTGAAACACAAATAGTGGGATCTTTTAAAAATATCCCTCTAAAGCTTTTATTGATGATTCACTTTAACATCATCAAAATACAGATAATTATTAAACGAAAAATAATATAATAAGTATGAATTTCAAAGCGTACAGATTTACAATTTTTATATTGTCTCGTTTGTTGCAAATTGGAAATATACATTTACTCTGTTTTTTATATTTTATATTTTCTGAGACCTTTAGTTAAATCTAAAACAAAAATTTTCTTATTAATAATTAATTTACTAAAAAGTAATTAATTAATTCCAAGAGCTAAAAGCTAGATTTCCGGTATCCGACTAGAAAGAATAAAATCTAATAAAAAAGTTGAACTGACAGAAAATTTTATTCCTCAACGAATTTAAAAACTAAAAAATAATCTCAAAATGCAAGTGAGAATTTTCACTTCCGTATTTATTTGTGTCCCATACAGTTTATTTTCAAAATTTTTGCTCTTCTTGCTTCTCTGCTCAATTTTACACTTATTTTACACTCCCTTCCCTCTAAAATGTTTCTTTTCTATTTTTATATTTTTTGTCAATATTTTTCTTCATATGTTTCTACACGGTACCAAAAATTAAAGAATTTCACTTTAACGTCGATCTTTGCTCACAATAAATTTTAAAAGTATATTTTTAAGAAATTTTCAAATTTTATTTCTCTAAATTGAGGATACTATAATTAAATTAAATGAGTAAAACTTAATACCAATTTCGAATTATACCTATAACATTGTTTTTGTAAGGATATCAAAATTTTGTATTTATTGCCAAGTTTTAAGAATCTATATCATGTCCGCCTACATGATATTGTAAAAAATATCGAAAAGAAAATTAAATTAAATTTTTATTCTCTCTCTTGTATAAAAGATATCCCAAAAAATACTCATTTGAGAAAAATTTTCTGGTTTTTCACTTTAATTATTGACCACTCTCGTGTTAGAAAAATTGAATATAGAATGTGCTAGTATTGGGAACTCTGTTTGAATTTTAATTTTTTTCTGTACATTTTTTTGTGTACAACAAAAGAAATGTGAGAAATTTTAACATAGCTTTCGACCTCTGCAGTACACAGTATTTCCACGATTTAAACAAATTCTAGTCTATTATTTTAGCGAAAGTTCTCATATTATGCCTTCAGCTAAAGTTATATCTGCCAATAATATTATCAGTCGCAATTTAACACTGAAAATTTAACATAAAGAATTTAGAAAAATTTTTCAATACCATTTTCAAAAGTTTCAAAAGTCAATGTTAATCTTAAATATGTATAACAGTACTTTCCTTCCATATCATTATGATGAAGAAATAAAACATATTCTCGCAATTGATTTATATTTAGTAAAAAAATGTGCAAGTATGTATGTACATTGAGCATTTATCATTCGAATTTCTTCTTTTTAAATTTATGTTTTCCATTTTTTAATATAAAAAAGAACTCAATAATTTTTAAAATTCCAAGAATATTTCATTGATATTTTTTGTTATACCTTCTTCTACACAATATATTTCTAATTTTTTAGACATGTTTTACGTAGGTTAGGTAATCATATACTGATCCCATTTTTTTTCCTACATCTCAAATCACCTAAAAACCTCAATTATTATTTTTTCAAAAATGAAATGTACAGGTTACCTAACATTCTAAGTAATAACTTTACGAAATTTGTTATTGAAAATTTTGGAATAACAATTTCTTCTGTTTTCTTTCTAAACCTTTGCTGATTTCAACTATATTTACCAAGATCGTGCTAAATAGCGTTGAAGAAATATCAATTAACTAAAAAAATGTTAAAAATGTGTTTTTTGTTTTTAGAATTCACAATATTGCTCTCTCAAAATAATTTTGGCGAAAAATCAATTGATTGCATTTAGTCGGATCAGAAATTCGCTTGAACAGGGTACGCTAAGTTCAAGGTTTATAATGGAATTATTACGAGTAAATTCTTTTAAATATTAAATTTTATTAAAGAACATCATAAAAATCAATAAACTCAATTCAAGTTAATTTGTTTACAGGTTGCTCTTCAAATAAATAATAAATCCACCTATGCATAATATTTATTGTATATGTAAGTCTATGTATGTCATAGAGACAAAAATAAAAGCCTACGTCATTGAGTCCTAGCTGAATCGCATTGCTCAACTACAAGTTTAAGTACATAATATAAAGATACTATATATACATAATATACAAAAGATACTGCTGTATACATATATTATAACAAGAAGGTAAATGTAAAATTATATCTCCACAAAAAAAATCTAAATTTTACATTAAAAAATGTTATTGGAATAATTTTACATGGAATTTTCTCTGGTGAATTTTACAAGAATTATTTATTTTGATTTTCGTTAGCTTGAAAATTATTGCAGTTACCTACGATTTAATATTTTCCAATTCAGAATTTCTTTAGTATTAAAGAATAAAGGTATATGCGTGATATTATCCGTACATGATTGTTGGAGTTTGTTAAATACACTTAATCTATACAACATGGGTTTCGATTTTTCAATTTTATCAAAAACATCTTTTACAAGGGAAGGAATTAAGGAAAAGACATAAGCCACAACATTCCATAAATGTTTGCTAAAATATTCGCACCAGCAACTCGGGTAAAATATAAAATTATTAATAATTTATTTTATTCAACTAGTTCGGCAGGAATAACTAGATAAAATTTCGGCATCCCAATTAAAATTTCCATCATAGCACGTGTACATAATTAATTTCAATAAATTATATTCTGTTTTAATATTTTTGATAGCAAGAAATTCATAATGTCAGATAGTTATGTTTCTTTAATTTTTAACATTAAAACCAAACCAGTCGAATTTTAAAAAAGACTCATTTCAATTTTAAATTTTATTTTCTTTATTAGAATCTTTTTTTTATTAATAACGAAAATCCCATAATTTTGTATAAAATATAAAAATATAAATAAATTTGTTGAAAATAAAAATTTAAAAAAGAAAAACACATTTTTTATTTTTAAAGCATACAATAAAAAATAAGGTCTAAAAATATTTTCATTTCCCAAAAATATTCATTTACAATTTAAAAATTTTTCAATCTTAAATGTACGACTTCATTTTTGCAATATTGTCAAAATCTTAATGATTTCTAATGCTTCTTATATTATTTTCATTTTTATTGATGTATTCAATCTTTACTAAAAACAGAGCTTGAAAATCTTGGTTATGTGCCAAGATAATTTAGAAGAAAAATGTAATGCCACATAATTTAATGCACAATCTTATAACAATAACTTTTAATTCAATCACAAAATAATAGTAAAGATGTCAAAAAACTTTAAATCGAAATCATCAACCGATTCTTTTGTGCTGCATCTGACGCACTTCGTTTAAATGTTTCAAGTTAATAAGTTTAAAACAAAATTCTTCATTCAATGCAAAAAATTTTATTTAAGTGACCGCTTTGCGTCATCATCCAATAGAATAGAGACGTATTGATATTCTTCTATTCCTTTCTTCTGGATTGAGTAAGACGTGTTTGAAGCTCCCTAATATATATTATTTTCAATTTGAAACTGTCTTAAGCTTATGGGCCTAATTAAGAATAAATCTTTCTAGTTATTTGTTTTCAGTCTTTGTTATTTATTTCAATGTTATAGCTTTAAATATTATTCTCTATTACAGAACTTTGCTCTTTAGAGGAAAGTCGAGGCTTTTGCTTTATTTCTTCTATTCTCTAACATATGACACTCAAGTATGACACTCAAGATCCTGATATTTTGTACAAACATTTTTTGTAAATAGAGATCAAAAATTGTCATAACATCTTAAAATTAAAATATTTAGAGAATATAAAACATTTGACACACGTTTAATTGTCACACGCTTTTAATAACATAGAAAGAATTCTT